TTTGTTTTGTTACAAATTAGTTTTAGTGGAACACAAAAAATGTACAAAGCATATTTTATTTAGTATATGATTATGTTTACATGCAACTCTAAACTTTTTTGTGCTTGTTTAGGATTTGAAACATTCCACTATCAATGAGGAAGTAAAGAAAGATGTTCTGAAATCAATAAATATGCAGGAAATTTTTACTGTACCGGTGAAACATTGCCCAAATGCATTTGGAATAGCTTTCAAGCACACAAATAATTGGAAACTCACATACTCAGGTGACACAATGCCTTGTCCCCAACTTGTGGATCTGGGTAAGTTTTTAAAAAAAAATTCTCCTCACAGTTTCTTTGTAAAAATATTTCATAATTTTTTTCATTTATGTACTATTTAAATCTCAAATAATGTACCACATTTAATTTGTTTCTTATTTTTCATTGATATTGTTTTAGGTCAGGGCAGTGATGTTCTTATACATGAGGCAACTATGGAGGATGAATTGCTGGATGAAGCACGAATAAAACTTCATTCAACAACATCTCAAGCTATTGAAATGGGAAAGAAGATGAATGCTAAATTTATTCTTTTGACCCATTTCAGTCAGCGTTATGCTAAAATTCCTCGAATTAATGAAAATTTTTCTCAGAATGTTGGAATAGCATTTGATAACATGCAGGTATTAATTTTTAACTTTTCGTCTGAGAAATTATTGAGTTACTGTGCCCTCTAATTGATCTTTTGTTTTTGCATGCAATGCAGCAAGGTTATATTTTTGTTTTATTACCATACAGCTTCCATTTCCACAGCATCGTTAATGCATGCTTAAAAGATTAGCCCCATTTATATTGAGTTTGATTAAGATCTGTCGAAGTGTGAGGATATAAATTTAATAAGTATTAAGATTAATATCCACTTAACACATTCTGTGCAGAGTACTGTCCCCAAACTATGAACAATGTAGAGCGAGTATTTGTGATGGCAGTTGCCTAAAGGCATGTCTTTCTAGAAGAACTTGACAATAATGAGCCCTCACTTTCAAACTTCTTTGTTTTTTGCAAGAAACTTGACTAAACCATTACATTTGATGATTGTGTAAAAATATGGAACTTATACTTATTGAAGAGTTTAAAATTTAACTCTCTCACATGTATTATTGTGGGAGTGAATTTTATTATGTTTTGTGTACATTTTATTGTGTACAAATAACTTAGTTTGTTTGCTTATTTACAAAGTATTTTTTCAAAATAGTGTGAGGGTGAAATTAACTCTCCCTTAAAAACTAAATCAATCTAATCCACTCTATCCGTCTCTGTGACACTCCCATCCCTACTTGCCTCTCCGCTCTATCCCACGTTCCAATGGGTATCTCTAGCAAGTACGATTTTGGGGGGCCTCAGAGAAAGTGATTTAAATCCAAACCTCTACAGAATTGTAATTTAAACCACATTTTTTATTGAAGTTAATGAGGTGCAAGTGTAAGATTAAAGGAAATCAGGGGGTTACTCTCCTCCCCCTTAAAGTACACCCAATTGTTTTATTCTAATTTCACTTTTTACTTTTTGCATAAATGACAAATTCAGTAGAGTAGATTTTTGTATCAGTGTGCTTGGGGAAGATGTATGATAGCGATGCTGATATATAAACGGTTCTATAATAGAGTGAATTCAGGCAGCTATTCCCATTATTTGTACATGATGATCCTCATGGTGTGAATTTGGTTCTAAAGGAAAGATGCATTCACCCACCTGCCCCCATTACAAATTATATGAGAAAGTATGTGCTTTTTTTGATCTAGCAGCTTTACTTCTAAGTACTTGTGGGACTCTCATTGCTGCCACTGTTTAATAATTTAAATTGTTACCACAATGAATGCATGCCCACACACTTTAGTAAAAATCTCATCCCAGGCTAATGTTTTCGGAGGTTGGTGACCCTTGCGGAGGCAGTGTCGGATAAACAAGGCAATCCTCAAGTGAAGTAACCTGTTGTAGTCCATGAAAACTTGCGAGTTCAATTGTGGGAAATTTTGGCACAAGTTCAGATAGAATTATTAGTACCCAATGGTTGCGATTCATACAAAAATGTACGTGCTGTTTTAGCACAATTTTTTTTTCTGTATTTACATTTCAATTTTATGGATTCTTTTGTATTTATTTTGTATTGCATGCTCAATTTTCATTTCTCACATATGAGGCACATCTAGAAAGCAAATTTCCCCCAGTTGTCAAAAAAATTGAACAATTTAATATTAAAAAAATATTGTAGCAGATACGTATATGTTGCACTATTTTTCTTTATAATCAAAACTGGAATTAAGACATTTGCCTTCATTGGTAGGTTGGATAGTTAGAAACTTTCCCGGTTCTGCTGCAGGTTGGTTGTGCGCTGAGCTGTGTGTTTATTGTGTGTGTTATATACTGTTGTAATACTTAGTTGTTACGTTCACACCCTTAAGAAGTTACTTTTTAAGAAGAGAAAGTTATGTAATGCGGGGAAAAAGCGTCGATTTTCGGCAGCAAAACTTATTTCCAGGCCTTATTAAGGAAAAAGTGAATAAATTCAATTGCTAAATTTAGAAGAAAACTAGCACGTGATGTAGCCAGAATCCCTGTTTTGAGAGTCCTTGATACCGAAAAATCGATTGACTGCAAAACGTCTATCCTTGGGTCTGTGAATAACACTATTGGCTAAACCATTCAGCCGATTTTCTCCAAAAATTGATATACCTCAATTGATCTGGCTGATGTTGCAGGCACTAGTTTCTGTGATGAAATATATTAGTCAGAAACAGATCTTTAAATAAGGTCATGTTCAATTTTTCGAAAATATCAGTATTTTATTGTGTATTTTTGCATGAACAATGGGGGCGTTTAAAACCACTTTAAACAATTTTTTGTCAAAAAGATATTAATTTTTTTCCTTAATTTTTTCTTGTATATAGCAAAGTATGATAAATAAAAGTATGCTGGTCTCATTATCGATCTACGCTGTATTTTCGAAATTTTGAAACAGAAAATTTCACGTTGCAAAAATACAATATTGATGATAAAGATGTTTTTGTTTCATGAAATCTGTTCAAAAAAATCAGTTCTTTATAACATGTCATGAACAATTGTTTGAAAATATGAGTAGTTTGCCGTAATTTTATATTTTTGAAATTGCATGTTTGAATTTCCAGGGCTTTGACGAACTGTCAGTGTGAAATTCTTTTGAATTCTTCCCTTTTGAAGGACGGACATGGAACTAAACGTATTACGATGCTTTGTTTTATTTATTTACATATTTTTACTTTCTCGCTGTGGAGTGGAGAGATAGTTATGTAAAGCAGCTTGAAAAAACAGTGAATTTTCGTCAGAAAAACTTTATTATACGGCCTGTGTAACGAAAAAGTGGATAAATCCAATTGCTAAATTTAATATTAATACTGAAAAATTGAATGATGGCAAAACGTCCGTCTGTCTGAACAACGCAAGAGGCTAAACTGTTCAGCCGCTTTTCTCCAAAATTGAATCAAATTAAGGTTGGAATTTTTTCCATTAATGAAATCTGTTCCTTAAAGATATATTTTGAGTACTTTGAATGATGATGAAAGTCATGTTAAAGTTTTTGAACATTTGAGTACTTTTCGCATAATTGTGCGGGCGGGAAAGTACGTGCTGTTTTAGCACCACTTGTTATATGTCAAAAACAATGAAATAGTGTGTATACTCTATTGTAAAAAATGTGTTACGTGAACATTTTCTTAAATTGTAGTATCCCTACTCTAAACCATATACATGTTGAATTCTGATTATTACATATGGAAATATGGATATTATTAGGAGGAAATATTACATATGGATAATACATATGGAAACATGGGTTTGTTCTTCGATTACTAATGAGAATTTGGGGAAATTTTCTTATATGTGAAAATTTAGATTTAGAGAATGTAACATTACATGTTCAGACAAGGAGTACCGTGTAATTTCTGCTAAAATAAGCACATTTAGAGAATATTGCAATACTATAGTATGTAATAATTACTAT